CACACAGACAACCTCTCGTCAATATGCGTTTTTTGCATTGCATAACTGCAAAAAACGCATAATAATACGATCCCAGGCTGAATGTCAAATGTTCGCTTACGACAGTAAAGTGACCAGTGCTTCTACGATCCACTGACGCAACGTTAAGGAATCAAAATTGCCATCAGCTTGCTTTTAAGCAACTCTCAAATAAAACAGCCATCGACAGCCTTCCCTGCTTCCGTATGCCTCCGACTACCAGAGAATGTGAGCACAGTTGGGTTTTAACTTTGGCCACTGAACTTCACTAGTCGCATCATTCTGCGCAAAAAAATGCTTAGAGAAAAAAAGCGTTACTTATCCACAATGTCAGTGAGCGTCTGTTCGAGATATTTGATTATTGATGCCTTTCTGCTCGGTTCTTCGGCTATCAGTTCCTCCAAACTTCGTATTTTGTTGTCAGCCGTCTAAAAGCACAGCAATTCCACAAACTGTTCAAGGTATCAATTTTTCAAGCTAAAATACAAACCATGTCAACAAACAAAATCTCTTTTCAATTTTAGAGGGAATGCTAACCTTAAAAAGAGGAAAATCGGCGCCATAGAACTCTATGATAATATTGAAGCGTTGCAATGCGTTTGCATAGTCGTTGTATGCCGCTTCCAGGATCGCTGATGCGGGTGCAATCCTCAGCAGCGAAACACAGTGCCCGCAAAATGCATTAAATATAATTTGACGCTGAGCAGGAGTCCTTAAACAGACACAATATGCATAGCAATAGCAAAGAAAACAGTGAACAGCTGAGCCCTCAATGGTTGCGAAAATGCAAAACGGTTGGTAAAAGTCAAAATGCAGAAATATCTAAAAGGAAGTTGCCTGAGTCTGGGCCTGAGGGCAAAGGTGCTTGAGGATTAATTTTGCTTGAGAATGCTTAAGAACTAATTTTAGGCCTAAACGAAAACCCTCATAATGTTCCGTCAACAATAAGCTCTAATGTCTCAGCTATGGGATAAAAAAAATTCAATTCCAAAAAACTCATTATTTCTGGATTCAGAGCAAATTCCCGCTACATTGTGCAGATCTCCAGTGCACAACTTCAAAACGGAAGGTTTTTGTTGAAAAAGTTTTTAAAACAATGTGTACGAAAAACAGAGTTGAACTGATTACGTGGTATAAGAGATTAGGGGTACGAAGAAGCAGACCGCAAGATGACACTCGTAATTTTAAGTGGATTCTGGGAAGACTGAAACGGGAGGCCTACGTGGGAAGTGTCTGAGAAGTAAATAGTGCAAGCTCAAAAAACAAAGAATGGAGAAGTCGCCAGCTGCAATAAGGTATGAAATAAATGGCAACGCGCACCAGACTAGTCGGTGCGATTATGCGTTTTGTGCAATTCAGCCCATTGAACGATTGCCTGTTAATGATTTTCATTTCCTTGTACTTCAGTCTATGCAAAAATAGTTCAAACATTGAAAAACAGTTAAAAATTTCACGCAC